ATAAATAAATAAATAAATAAATAAATGGATGTACCAATGTTTCTCAAGTGCAAGGATAAATGGAGATTTCCCTTGCACATTTTCTGAAAATTTTAGGTCATTTACATGGACCTGGGAGGACGGGGGGGGTGGGGGGTGTTGGTTGAGATTGTGAGTTTAAGGTCACAATCTCACAAATGACGCCCTACTTAACCCATATCTCTTGTAAATCTTCTTTATGACCTAAATTTCCTAAAAATCTAATTACCCTTGTGTAATCGACAATTTAACATCAATTCATTTCTTCAATAGGTCTGTACTCAACTGACCTCGAACAATAAACAGTCTTTGCAAGTATATGAGTGAAATAGTTGAGTAGAATCGGATGTTCTCGTGTGAATTTTGGAAATGAAAATTTATGAAACATAATTATTGAACAAATAACTGGACTTCACTCTTCTATTTCCACACTTCCCACAAATGTGTTGCCCTTGTTGAGTCATTTAACCACTTCCTACCCTCCATTTGATGTAGACAGTGCTTATTCCCATCCAACTGGTCACATTTCTGTGCAATTGTGTGTTTGGGATGTACCGCGAGTAAGTCCCAGTCGGTAGTTGCTTAAAGCGATTCGAAGGTGTATACACGTGATTGTGTCCTCCGAGGTATTAACTCAGAGGTGAAGCTTGCAATGAGATTGGAAGATGGTGTGGGATGGAATGCATAAACAGGGGGGAGGGATTGGTTTATGGTGCCCTGGTATTTCTCGAACTCAAGTCGCTATGCATGATATGCGCAATAATTGAGAAATTAACATAATCTCCCTTATAAACTATGCCATCTAATGCCACTTGTGTGGTTCAAACTCACTTTTTCTGAACATTAAAAATCAAGTACTAACCACTCCAATCAGTTCTAGCATAATAAACCAGGATGTGACTAACAATTAAAAACTAATAAATTTCTTCAAATGGTTTGAACTCAAACCCCCTCGAACATAAAGTTCAATTCTTAAGGTCGTGGTTGCTGTTATTAAAGAAATGACCTTGTATGCAATATTAAACTCTATTGTTGCTATTCCACTGAATATTGATCGAAGGATATTTAGGTGAGCGTAGAGTTGGTTCACTTCCCGCATCTTTGTGACCTAATGAATTAGTGAGCAGGAAGTAGAAAGAAAAATGTTCTGCACATGAAGTGGGGTACATTTTGAAAGGTGTGAAAATACAATAGGGCTTATTTACTGGTTTATTGGTTTATATCCGCTGTCAAGGGTAAGATAAAGAATTACAAGTAAAATGTGAACGAACGAGGAAGGAACTATTTGAAGCATGAAAAGCTGCAATACTACGAGGCATTCATAAGAACACACTTAATGTAGTTGCACTTTATGTGAAGAAACAAGCCATGGAAAACAAGAAGAAACGCCAAGATATAGCAGTGCTGCAGAGAGAGAGAGGGAGAGAGAGAGAGTTCTGCGATCAAGTGAAACGTTTTGAGGGTTTTATCCTCGAGAATGAGGCGAAAGAGGAAGGCACTGATGAAAAATTCTTCGAAGAACTGAAACTGAAAGAAGAAGAAGAAGAAGAAGAAGAAGAAGAAGATGTGAAGGAATTGGAGAAGCTGAAACAACAATACGCAGAAATCATACCCAAGTAATTTGGCACTTTATTCATAGTTGCCTCATTGATAGCACCTGCAATTAATTACGTTGGGCTGTGATTTTCCCCCTTCAGACTTGGGGACATGGAAGAGAAGGTGGACAAATATAGTATCTGTGAGTCTTACCTCCTGCAAATTACCAGCCTACTGCCACCAGGTTAATGCTACTTGCACATTTAAGTAGTGTCTTAAGGGGAGGAAAGGGGAGAAACTGATCACCGAATTCGTTCTTCTTCATTTAGACTATATTTAAATGGCAGATGACGCCCCGTTGGGAATTATAATGAGGTGTAACACTCTCGCCGATACCTACAGGTCTCCTTTAGATGAGATGAAAGCAAAATCTGCTGAAGTAAGTAAGTCGTTGAATTAATTACTGTTTTGAAGTTCAACGAGGGATTGCAGGTGTCGATACAAGTATAGATGTTTTTGCTTAAACTACACTTCAAGCATTGACCTACTCACAACAGTAAGATAGTACTGTGCTATTTCTTCCATAGGCATATATTTACCAGTTGGCTATCAGGTTGAATTACTGATTAACGGCATTATTTTTGAGTGTATTAAGAAAATACACTTCAGTGTACTGTTCTCAAGGTTGATCATTTTCAAGTTTCGCAATAGGCAGACATTGAGGAGCAGGAGTGATGGACAAGCAGTGTAAATGCCGAGGGGTGAGTGGGAATCAATGAAGGAGATTAGAAAGTGACTGTGAACAAGTGCCAACACGATCACTAGCTAAAGTAAATTGTTGTCAACGGAAGCATCCCTTGTTCTCATAATACAACATGCATGAAATCGTACACTCTTCACAAACGGCCTAAATTCAGGGCCATCAACTTCGATGTTCATTTAACATTTATGTGGGGTGAAGTTAATAATTAGTCACAAGGAGTTATTTCGATCATACTCAACTCTGATAAAACAATGTTGAAAAGAATTTGGCACCACTTTTACATCCGAGATCTCAATTCTCAGCTACAGTCTTTACGCGAAGACCAAGCCAATCGGGTCTTGGCTGTCAATTCCAGATTGGCCGACCATTACGAAGAGCATGGGATAAATGATGAAATTGATCAACAGAACAACCAAAATTTCTACCAGGACATTAAGCAAATACGAAATGTCTTAGTCGGATAAGGTCTATGGTTTTAACTTTCAACTGGTCACACTTGAATTTAAAATGGCAGTTAATGTTCTTTTGTTGATAAAATCTACTTACTTTTGTGTTCTATTATTGAAAGGCACAACTCAAGTTACTTGTATTTAGTGAAAGAGATTATTGGATTAAGTAATCGTGAAAGAGATGGGAAAATATTAGGCAAAGAAATGTGAAATGAAGAGAATTTGCAAATTTAACAAAATTAACTTTGAGTGCGGTTTTTTAAAGACAAAACCTTAAACGATCAAAGGGTATCAAATTGTTACCTTTTTATAATTGAAGCATTTAAATCGTATTCGGAAATATTAGGTGGAATTTTCACGGGTTTTTATTTTAGATGGAATTATTCGGAACAGTGATCCGGTCAAATTACAATCTTGTGGGCAAATGAAGATGGCCGTATACATGGAATTCAAAGGAAGAGGATACACTAAGCGTGAAGCTAAATTGAATAGATGTAGGAAATTGGTATCAAACCGTAAAGTAAAGCGATTTGCGAAAGTGTACAAGGCATTAGATAGATAGGTATTAAATTGCCCATTTCCATCTGGAAATACATAAATACAATGAGAATGATTCTTACAGAATTGAGCGAAAATGAAGACGAATAGGGGAATCAAAAATCTCACCTCATTCACCGAATGATATGCACTACGCCACAACAGACACAAAAGTGGATGTTACAAGACAACGAGAAATAAATTAAGAAAAAATAAAAATACACATGTTTGATTTGAAAAGCTCTCATAAAATATCTGGTTGTAAAAGTGTCTCAATAAATACAAGTAAAGATTGTAAGAAGTTGAAAAGGTCTTATATACATATGCTCACACACACATATATATGTGTGTAACACACTAAAACATGGAAGATAAATGCGTTCAAATTTATCTTGATGCGTTGAAAATATTATAATTCGGTCTATTTCTTATTTAAAGTATAAGTATATCTTATTTTGAGAGAAAAATAAGTTTTGTTTTTCTCGATTCAAGGACCACTTGTTGGAGAGAGCGGTGGGTTGAGTTATCTCATAAATCGGTTGGATGGCTCAGTACGATAACGTTGTGAGAGGTCCATTGAAACTTAAAACGGAGGCGAAAATTGCCAAACCGAAGAAGCACAAGAAGCATCGCAAAGAGGATGCCAAGGAAGTGTGTGCAGCGGAAATCGTCCCAGCTGATAAGGAGCCCGTTCTTACGAGGACCGCAGCTGAGATAGAATGTGAGAGGAAGAGGGTAATGCGATTGATGGATACAATTTTGAGGAGGGCTGAGAAATCTCACAAGCAAAGGATAATGGAATTTAACGAACAGATGGATTCAATGAGTGAGCATTTTGACATCCCCAAGGTGTCCTGGACGAAATAGTATCCTCGTTCCTCGTTTGTCCAACTGTGATTGCCCACTTCCCTGTCCACTCCGCTTCAGGTCCACCTTTCTTTGACTTTGTTTCAAACTTTTATGCAAATTGACTGCATTGTTGTATATTTGTATGTATATATGTGTGTATATCTTGTATAGAAATTTTGCTGCTTATTCATTTTGCAGTTTTATAGTGTTTAGTGTTGCATCTGAATGGACTTACACGTCACGTATTGCGAGGCAGTTATCATGTTTGCTCCTGGCGCAGTCTAGCAAGAGTAGGTACACATTTTGTGTTTTATTGATTTTGCATTTGATCATTGATAGCGAATGCACACAACTCGACGTCATTTTGTGCAATGATTATTTGCACAGTTCGTAAGTAACGCAGTATTGGTAGAAGTGGAAGAGTGGGTTTATTGCTTAAGGTGGATTGTATTATTATTGATTGTTGGTGAAGCTTTGGCCTGTTTCTTGTTCGTTTTTGGGAGTTGGTTAGATGTGGTGATTGCTATGGCTGCCCAAGCCATTTTATGGTAGAGGTAGGCTATCCTTGATTTAGTTTATGCGATGACTGACAAGACGTGAATGGGTTATGGTTACTTTGTGCGTTGGGCTGCGAAGCGAACGGTAAGTAGTCAAATCTAACGACCACGCCGACTAGTTGGTGTGCTTCACATAGGCTGAGTGCCCAATTATACTGAATTACTACGAGTTATTTTTATTAACAATGGCTGATATTTCGTTATGTTATGTTTGTTATTTGCATACTTGATTGTAGGCATTCAAGTAAACCTTTAGATCTCTGACAAAATTTTGATCATCATCTCTTGTCGAAGTACCAAAATGCACAGGTTAGAATTGTGAATGTTGGAATCCTGTTGAAGGCATTGTCCATTATTTAATTTAAATAAAAGTATCTACTAGTTATTTATTAAATAGCGAATCATAATTTCTCAAAATTCCAGACTCACCTAAGCTAACTTAAAAATTGAAGTCAAAAGTTGAAAGCACCATAAGTGCTAAAGTTTCAAAAGATAATATATATATATATACATAAAAGATAAAAAATTAGATTTCTACTGATTATGGAGTTGTAAAATTGTGCATACTTTGAAAGGCGGCAATGAAATGATATGTTTACTGAGGCATTGAGAAGGATAATTTTTTTGCTTTTTGCTTTTGTACTCGAATTTCTAGAACTGACTTGGAAATTCAATGGTGAGATCATGTCCAATCACAATAGAAATTATTTAAACTTATTTGTTTCTTGGAGTATTAAAAAGGATCCTCCTTTGCAACTCCGGTCTAGTACTTTGTACGCAGTCTCTTACCAGCAGCCATCAGGTGAAAGACAGTGGCCTTTTCCTAATTGAACAGGTCAGTGTTTTGAATTAAGGGTCACCTATGCATTACATTTTTGCCATTTAATTTTGCGTATTCTTTGCCAAATCCTACTGAAGAGAGGGTAACATCAAATCCTTCATTAATGCTCCTTTACTTGTCTCCTCCTTTTCAATCTGAATGATCTGCTTACAAACCAAGAGAATGATGAGTTAGGAATTTGGAGTAAGAAGAGAACAAATATCAGCACTGTGTGGGTGGATCCCATGTGGTACCAAACGTTAAGATGAAGGGGATAGTCGCGACATGTCCTAATTTGACTTTCACCAAGAACCAATAGCCCGTTGCATAACCAACTTTACTACGAGAAAGAGGGATAATCATTTGAAGCAAGTATGCAATTTATAGAGCAACACTTTAAAATCATTGATGTACCAATGTTTCTCATGTGCAAGGATAAATGGAGATTTCATTTACACAATTTCTGGAAATTTTAAGTTCTATGGATGGAGTCGGGGTTGAGCGGGTTGAAAATCAAGTAATAATCATTCCAACCAGTTCTATTGCATACATTTGTAATAAACGCGTAAATGTTTATCGTTTGAAGCTGTAAATAGACACACAGAGTTGCACTAATTGAGCCATTTTCCTTCAACCGATTGCCATGAGGTCGACAATTGACTCACCTAATACTCATTAATCTTGCTTCAGATATTGGCAGACTCTTTTAAATACGGTTGAGGGACAAGGCTAAATGTAATCATGAGGAGTTTTAGCCTCTACTCACCCATCTACGTCCACACAAATACCCGCATTATTGATTTATTTAGATGACATACACCTCAACATCATGAGCTGTAAATAACCTATACAATGAAACAAGCAAGTTATAAATTCAAATTCAATATGATGCATTTACATAGGAAGTAAACTGCCTATTAGCACTCACGAATACCGTTGAATGCGGATTTCACTTTCAAGTGGTTCAATGATGTCACTCTCCTACACATATTCACCTCATTTATGCCAGAGATTAATATTATCTTTTCCATCAAGAGTTAGGCGCTTTCGAAATTAAGTTAGGAGCACTTTAGGAGAAAGCTCATTTCATGCTTTTCTAGTGAAAACAGCGAACATTAAATCTGCAATATCCCTCACTCTCTAAACAACTTTTAACAAAATGGAAAATAATATTTTGGGCGTATTCATATCTGCAACAAAGTAATACGTTATTATTAATGTAGTGCTCTACCAGAAGTGTAAAGTGGGGGTGAGGGGGGGGGGAGGAGGGGGGGGGGG